CGCGCGCGCGCGAGAGAGAGAGAGCGCGCGCGCGCGAGAGAGAGAGAGAGCGCGCGCGCGAGAGAGAGCGCGCGAGCGAGCGAGAGAGAGAGAGAGATAGAGAGAGAGAGAGCGCGCGCGAGGGAGAGAGAGAGCGCGAGCGAGAGAGAGAGAGAGCGCGCGAGCGAGAGAGAGAGAGAGCGAGCGAGCGAGAGAGAGAGAGAGAGAGCGCGCGCGCGAGAGAGAGAGAGAGAGAGCGCGCGCGCGAGAGAGAGAGAGAGAGCGCGCGCGCGCGCGAGAGAGAGAGAGAGAGAGAGCGCGAGCGAGCGAGAGAGAGCGCGCGAGCGCGCGAGAGAGAGAGCGCGAGCGCGCGAGAGAGAGCGCGCGAGCGAGCGAGAGAGAGAGATAGAGAGAGAGAGAGAGCGCGCGAGAGAGAGAGAGAGAGAGAGAGAGAGAGAGAGAGAGAGAGAGAGAGAGAGAGAGAGAGCGATCAGCGTAGTCGGTCATGAAAGAGGGACTGACAAGTGGATAAAAGTTTCACATTGAAATGAGGGAGGTACAAGAACGTGAATTAGCTTCACAGGCAACACGCTAGTATCGACTACTCTGGACTGGCGATTGTGTGTGGAGAAAGTGATAGTTGGTATTCCAGATTCAGATTGCAGGTTTTTCATCATGAAGACTCATCAGATGTTGGAATCTGCAATCAGTGAAGTAGAGTAAGTTTCAGGGATTGTTTATAGTGAGTATTCAATTGCTTGTAGAGTGCATTTATGTAGTTTATTCTGATACAATTGCGTACTTTAATTCGCTTGTCCCAACGACAAAACCAAAATTTTGAAAAGCTGCAATCTTTCATGATGCTGCTAATTGAAGCATAATTGATCATTAGCTTTCAAACATTTTCGAACGACGCAATTGGATGTTTCAATGTCCCAAGGTACATGTAATCTTTTACACCAGTAACACAAGCTCGTTGGGGACACTGTTAGTCACATTAGCTAAATATTTTAAATTTAAAAATTAAATATTTGGGAACGATTTAATTATAATTGCATATGTGATTTCCGTGGTCATGTATAACACTGTAATTTAATTTCAGTGTTTGTCTAATTTGGAAGTCATGGGTGTAAAGGTCACAACTCGTGATAGTACATTTTGATTGTAAATTGAATTAACATTCAACTCCTCCTATCATCGACATTTCCCGTGACTTCCTACGTATTATAAATACTAAATAATGTTCACATACATACATGCATTAGTTTTTCGTAGATATAAAAAACAAAACAAGTGTCATATTTAAAATGCTAAGCGCCTAAACTTTGTTTCAGACTGTGAAGCTCCCGGACCACATTTAGAGGTTTTGAGAACTCATTTCGAACTTTCGGATGAGAGGATAAATTTAAATTAGTTATCCTCCCCCGGCTTGCCGCGTGTGTGTGTGGGGGGGAGGTGAAGTTTCTCTAATATTTTTATACAAATTATGAACTCCTAGGTCCTCTGACAAGTGGTTGAAGGCATTTTTGAAAACTTGTAGAGAGGTTTCATTTCTTCATAGAATGTCCACTTCGGAAGCCTGTTTTATCCTAGATCTAAAATACAAACTTTTATGTTGAATTGGAAGGAAGGGAGCACCTACTAGGAAAGCGACATTGATGCCGATGTTTTCAAAACATTAATGTTTCTATAAAAAAAATATCGATGTTTTAAGCATCGATGTATGGAAATCAATGTTTTATTCGTGGATGAAAAATTGCCATCATCACAGTTTTGTAAAAGTCAAAATACGAAATAATAAAATACGAGAATATAGAGAGCATATAGAGAAGCATTTTTAACTTTCTTCTCGGTTGAATTTTAATTATAAATGCATATACAGGGCCACTGTCCAATTAAATTTTGTTACGAACGAATTTAATGTTAGAAGCTGCTATACCAGCTTTAAAACATCGATTGATTTTGGTCGATGTATTAACATCGATGTTTTAATTTTGTAATGTTTGGCAACGTCGATGTTTTGTTGTCGATATTGCATCACTAGCACCAACTACTGCGCCAATGCCCGTCGTCCTTTGGGGCCTGGTGCACTCGGATTCAACCGCCGCGCCGCGCAGCGGGAGGTGTGGCTCTGCACCCCCCCCCCCACACACACACACCATAGTGCGGTGGCGCTTTATTTCCACGCGTTCTTCCGCCTTTGAGCTGGAGGGCTCCGCAGGCTGCATGCTCAACAGGGTACGCCCAATTATGTTTAAGCTGTGGAAGTAGTTAAACTGCAGCGCATCAGTGCGTGAGAACACGAGATTGTAGTTCATACAATTTTCATACAATAAATAAGTTTTGTTTTAACGTAGTTCATTACTTTAGGCGTAGGATGTTTGAGAACAGAAAATTCTTAATCCACGTTCGTTCCTTTGGATGGAAGTGAAGCAATGCGTTCCGAATGTATGTACGGGTATTAAAACACCTGGATCTTTAAAAGCGCATCTGATAAATATCTGAAAAGGATTCTTTTGCTCACAGCTTTACGTGGCCAGAGGGCACTGTGGAGACAACCCCGTCACAGAGTGTCCGGTGCTATGAAATAAGCATAATGAAATTAAATAGTGACGATGTCGGAAATCGAAGGATTTTTGCCATTAGGATGAAGCCGCGTCAAAGGCTCTGCGCTCGATGTTTCGACTATCTTGTATTGGCCTTTTCAGGTCTGAAATGACTTCCTCGAGGGCTGAACGCTTTTTTCATCTCAGAAGAAGACCAAAATAAAAAGTTTGAAATGTCAGCATCACATATCTACGCTACTTCACCTGGACTATTCCAGAATGGCCAAGACCATTCATATGACTGGCGGAAGAAATAATGGACATCACGCACGTGAACTGTCGATCTGGCAGTATTTAGTTGACGGAGATGGCCCCGTTTTAGGCACAACCGCACAGATGCTACTTTCGGCCGTCATGCTGCAGGCCTTCCCGTCCCTACCCTTTTCCCTGTATTGGGCCGTATATTAGTTGAAAACTGCCCCGTTAGCGCCATGTGTAGGATGAACTCGACGACGTGATAATCCCTATAGGTGGTTGTGCATTGGCAGGGAAACCGTCATGTCGCCACCTGAAGCGAGGCGGACTGTGCCCGGACGCACGCGCAGTGGCGGATCCAGGAGCGGCGGGCGTGGGGGAGGGTTATCCATAAAAATCATTGATTTATAATTTTACTCTATTTGAAACGATCACCACATTTTGATCGCATAGCGTTACAAAGACAGCATTTTTCTTGAACTAATTGGGGGAGAGCAACTGAAATATTTCGTGGATCCGCCCCTGGGCGCGTGGGCGGGGCAGTGAGTGTGTGGTGCATTGACTGATGCGTGTCTTTGCAGCGCCGCCGCGCAGTCTGCAGAAGGTGCGCAGAGCACGGACTCACGCAAAAGGTACTTTTGTCTCTCTCGCCCTTTTGCCATTTGCCTGAGATCCTCCCTTTTCTCTGTCTGAATGGTAAAGCAGTTTGATCGCAGTTTTTATCTCCCCACTTCACAAAACGTCCAAAATGTTATACTTGCGATTTTTATTGTTTTATTTTTTGCATGTTTTGTTGGAGTACTTAGTTTTGATCTCTTTGTATTTTTCTCTGCACTTTTTTATTCGCTTTTCTTCTCTTCTTTTTTCTGCTTGCTGTTACGCTACGAATAGGTACGCTTATGTTATGACGCTAGTGTGTATTCTTTACCTTCCTTCAGCTTTCATGTGGTAGTAACATTTTTACATGAATTTTACTCGATCTTTAAACCCAAAGATGTAAATACTTTTCACGCAACTTCTTATTCTGCTTACTATTAGAAACTCTTTGAGAAAACTTATTTCAAGCGTCGACTTGTTTCACTCGTTGACTATTCTCATTAATTGTAGGGTGTTCAATGAAATATCTTCGACGAAAGGCTGAAAAGTCTTAGAAAGTGCATTATATTAAATTTAATTTGCATTATCAGTAATAGATTTAATTACATGATTCATATAAATATCGGTGATACTCTGGAATTTATTCCTACAGTTTCAAATTTCGTTTTATGATTACTAACGTCATGAAGTCATATTATATGATATAAGATTGTTGATGTTTCAAGAATCAGGATTCGAAGAATATTTCGCCCAAGATTTTTTTTAAAGTGCAGTGATTTTTTTCTTTAGTATTAGTTGAATTGGACAGAGGATATCAGTAAATTTCATAATTTAGTTTAGTAATTAGGGGCTGCTCCTTTCTAGCCATTCGTAAATTGAAAGTCTAAACAGAATTTTATTAAAATAGTTACGGATAGTAGTTCCGAATATTGTTGTATTCCCTTCGCATTCTTGATGTTCATAATTCATTTTCTTCACATTCTTTACCTTTTCTAGGACATCTTAAATTCATTGTGAGAATGCTGATGGGGTGATGTAGACATCATGGAAGGATGAAATAATTGGTGTCATCTTTGACAAGGTACATTTATTCAAATAGCCTCCTTCGACATCATCAGTCACATGTGCGGAAAGTCGAGAGACAGGGCCGTCAAAAGTCGACTATCTGAATAAATAAGAGTTGACAAAGGTAACCTACATTATTTCATCCTTATTATATTCAGCACTCAGAATAGTCAACATCAGTATGGTCTGTGTCGCTTTAATTCTAAAAATTACGCACTTTCTTTGTAAATTTGACTTCCTCGAATCTTTTCTTTGAAAACTTGGCTTTCGGAGTAGTGATAACAATTGCCCCAGCACTTCAGAATTGCTTTTCATTATATATAAGTGTAGTACGACGTATAGTTCCTTTTATTTAGCATCAACCGTACTGTACATTTTTTCTCGCAACGTTTCTCTAAATCAGGAAATTTTAGAAAACAAGTAGGTTTCGAAATTCAAAGATTTGATATATTTACACGTACGCCACGGCTTCCTTCATTCCTTCTTCTTGAAGCTACTGAAGTAAAGGCTTCGTTATGGACAAGAAGTTCCGATTGCTCGCAACTCTGGATCATTAATCATTATTTTTAATGAAATGACGCGTGTCTAAATTAGTTTGATGCTGTAAACGACTGAAAGTGTTAAGGACAATGACTTTTGGCAGGAGTATTCTGAGAAGTTCTGTTATCCTAGAACTCACTACCACCGTAGGTTGTTTTGTTGAGTGTTTATTACATAGAGGTGTGTACTTGAAAGTTCTAAAGTGCTCTTCTGGAAATTAGATAAAAAATTATGAAGATACGAAGACACAACAAAGGACAATCAATTTTGGAGGAAGATGTCCGGAAATGCGTCCTGTGAAATTTTTTAAAGTTAGGTCTAACGAGTATCGTGCCAAAGACATTAAAAATAAGAAGTATAGACTCTGTTCGAAGGAATAGAAAACTGAGATGACGACTAAAATTATAATTTGAAAAAGTAGCTCTTATGTTCTTTCATGTGTTTTGCAATAAGGATATAATTTAATCCTCGCTGTATATACAATTTATTGAATGTAAAAAGCGATGAAAATGTATGTGTTTTTAGGAGGGTGGGGGGTAACACAACAAAGGCATAGTCTTAGAATATTTACTCAACGGATCAAGGGAAACAAAACGAAAAACTATTGAACGGTTTGGGGTCACGTACCTTAAATAATTTAACATTTGTTACGTATTTGTAAAATTGTATTGTCTGAAATACAATTTATGGCAAAACGAGATAACCTTACTTATATAATCAATATAATTCTATAATGAATGTAATAATTATTACAAAAGCATCGCAGTTTAAGAAGAAAGTTCGCAGCACTGTAACTTCATTGAACTGTTCATCTTCTGTTTTAAGAATTTTCATTGTTTTAAAAATGAAAGGCAAATTGTGTTAATAATGTTACCTAGTGGAAATTAATAACATTTCACATTGCATGAAACATGGACTTTTCTTATCCGCCATTACTCTGATACGCTTCTTTCTGTCTACTGTAATAAAGCATTATAATACCTCATATCGCACGTTTGTTCTTGTTTAGGCTTTTATTATGACGTAAATTTTGTAGATGTCAGTTTCTCCGTAGATGGTAAAAATGTGTAGTTTCCAGAATGGAAGCAAATAGTTGTGCGCTGTAAATCCGTGTTACACGAAGTAAATCCAGTTTACGTGAAGAGATGAACTACTGAATAATCTGTGTCGATCTTAGAAGATACGAAGCATCCGGTTTTTTAGTGTTTTTATACCCACATTGTATTTCAGTTCTTCGCTGTATTTCATATTTACTCTAACTGACCCTATGTGTTACATAGTTAAATGTATCTCCTGAAGCCACTGATTTCGCAATAATACGGATAAAATAAGAATATGTCTATTGTCTGAAATGAATTAAAGTTTGGAATACCAAGCAGGAAGTAATATTACTATTGGAGCTGTCGACTTAACAGTAGTTTCGACAGTACTTTCTGGCCCTTAGACTTTTAGGCCGTCTTTTGTTACATAAGAGTGTAAGCGCCACTCTGAGATACATTTTGCTTAGAACTAGTTTTGGTTATTTTAATTTACACCCTACATTTACAGATCATACATCGCCATCTGCTACCCAGAAAAACCCAAAAACCTCCCTCAAAACGAGGGAGAATTTTCTCGCATCCAAGTTTTAAAGTTTTCGAATAATTCGTATCTTCAATCTTTCGAAACTATCCGAAGAAAATATTTTTAATTAATAAAAAATTAAACAACTGATTAACGCTCGCCTTGGGAACATTTTTAAGGCACATTTTACGTAGATTATGGTGGGTAATGTGTTCTCTGGCGTTTAAAATACAAAAGTAAATGAAGGTAACAATCACGCCGAAATAAATATGTATCGAAATAATAGTGATGAAAAACCAGCGAAGGACTTCGTCAGCGGGCAGAACACGGAATTTAGATTGAGAAAGAAGTTTGATATGAACATCATAATAAAGTGTATATCTATTCGTAGTATAAGTTTCATTATACTGCTATATCACACTTCTTCTCATTCAATACTATTGATGTTTAAGTGTATTTTTATTTGATTTTTATGACCATGATTATTGTCTCGAGACTATTGATCGAAGATGAATTGCTTTGCACCCATTTAACAAGGATGGTACTCTCATCAGCTCTTTTGATTGTATTGTATCGTGCTCTGTGAAGCTGGTTGATTTGTGCTCTTCGGTTCGATCGAGACACGGAACATTTATCTTATGCAGAGAATAGCAAGCTTCGATTCTACAATAAATATAAAATTACCTATAAAATGAGCAAAACTGAATAAATTTAAGATTTGCATTGCACGTGTGTTTTGCAATGCACAAATGTTGAATTGTATGTGTTTTTTGCATTTCGAAAATCATACAAAATTGTACATGCCTACATCTCACTGCATGCATAATTTCACGATACGTTCTGTGTTAAGACTGAATCACATTGACGTAGGTAAATATGTGCAACTAACATTTAATTTTTTTAAAAGAAATTTTGAGAAACGCTCTTCTTTTGTTTCCAAAAATACTATACTAGAAGTCATTATGACACCAGTGGTCTACGTAGTAAACTTATTACACCACAGAGCATTGGTAACAGGTGTACCTTCTTATAACACCAATATGTTAAAGCCAACACCAATCATCTTTAAGTTAGGATTCGTAAGATTCGAAGGAAGGTAAGCCTTCGGAAGATTCAAGTTACAGAAATTCTCAAAATCCCACTGGAATCCATCGCTTGTGAAATACCTTGCCGACAGAGGACGAGGATCTGTGATGCGAGGGAATACTCACGAGGGCCGGCAGATTTCTCTGGATCAGGCATCCACCGAGATTTGGCATTGTCCAGGCCTTGGCATCCACGCAATCGGACGTTTTAGTGGACCTCAAAATAATTGCTCTGGCTGGAGCAGAGTAGCAGCACCGTCCCAGAACACGCGCGAAGTATTACAATCTGTTTCATACTAATTGGCATATACGGTGAATCTGTCAATTGTTACTGACACGAAATTGTTTACAGAACAAAGAATACACAGCGTATTTGTTGTAGAAATTTATTGTATTAATTATAATTTTATAGAAATGCGAGTGTGTTGATCGACGGATATGCAATGGAGGCGGTGACAGCATATGCTGTAGAACTGAGTGCTGATAGGCATTTTGTAAACACTTCTGAGATTCGCCAATTGCACTGTAATGAATAGTAAAATTCTTTCGGAATCACAATGGATACCATGTAGACGAAGTGCACCGGGCTCGGGTGTTTGCGGGTAAACTAACATCATCGGTTTCAGAATCCTCCAGGCCAATTGTTTTCTTTTTTAGTATTAATCATTTTGCATAAAGTTAAAATGTATTGCAGCAATTTAATGCATTTCACAGCAGATATTTTTCGATACAGACACGTTCCTTTGGGTATCGATGTCAGGTAGTATCCATAGTAACTATGG